TACAAAGGGTTAAGTAAGATTCTCATTCTGAAACATAGGTTCTCGTTGAATAATGGTTTTCCTCTCTTCCTAGTCTCTACCAATATATACCCTTTCATCCATCATATCTTACCGAGAGCTCACCTTCTCACATAAGCTTTCCCCAAATTAAATGCACCTGTTCATTTATGTCCCCTTTGCACTCAAGACTATGGCTGCATTAGATACAACTGCTTAAGTTTTCAGCTGCATACCAGCATATTCTGTCTCTCTAGATACACACCTGCATTGCAAGGAGCTCAAGCAAGGAGAGATTTTGGCATCCACTTGTTTGCAAGTACGTATGTTCTCTAACTCTTCTCAATTCTTCCCTAATACTCCAATATTCAGCCTTGGATCTAAACATAGACATTACCAGGAAGTGGTGAGAACTGCCCGCCTTAGCAGCCCTACTCACATAATGGTGTGGAGCTGTGCAGGTGGGCTAATGAAGGTCAGAATGACCTTGCTCTTTATTATGCAGCCTGCAAAGTTCCTTTTTAGTTTTATAAAAACTGGTCCCTCTCCGTGAGTGGGGAGAATTTGGCTACTTATGTGGGAAGGAAATAAGTTGGAATTTGGCCAAAGAACAGATAGCACTATCACCCAGACTCAGAGTCCTGCTTTATGTCAGCTATTAAGGCAGAGTTTCCTTTCAACTCTGGACATTCTTGAAATAACTAATGGCAGAGACTTAATGAGTGCCTTTTATGTGCCTGGGATCATTCTAAGAGCTTTTCCATATGTGTACTCATTTAATACTCACAGCAAACTGATGAGGAAGGCATAATGATGATCTCTGTTTTACTCATAAGGAAACAGAGGCAGAGAGGGATGAAGAAACTTGCCCAACTGGCAGATCGGGGATTCAACCTAATCTCACTGCATAGCCTGCTTTCTTAATCATACATTACATTGTAGTGGGTGTTCCTTGCTGCACCCCTCCCCTAATTAACTATTGATCTATTCATGAGACATATAAGCACCTACTGTGTGCCAAGACTAGAAAGTTCAAAGACAAGTTAGACATCATCTCTGCTCGAAGCAGCACCACAATCCAGTTGGGAAACAAATAGAAAAATAGGAATCGGATTGAGGACCCAACATTCCTCTGGACATTCTCTTCCTACTATGTCATCCACCCATTCAGTGCTTTCTTTCTACTTTAATAGATTAATGCTCAACTGATGTGTGCTTTTTAGCCATGACTACTTTGCTGTGTATATTAATTTACTAGGGCTGCCCTAACAGAGACTCTCTGGCTTGAAACAAAGTTTGTTTTCTCACATTTCTGGGGGCTAGAAGTCCCCGATCAAGGTATCAGCAAGATTGGTTCCATGTGAGGCCTCTCTCCTTGGCTTGCAGATGTCCATCTTCTCCTTGGGTCTTTACAAGGTCTTCCCTGTAGCCCTGTCTGTGCCGAAATGTCCTCTTCTAATAAAGACAACAGTCAGATTGGGCTAGGTTCCAAACTAAGGACCTCATTTTAACTTAATTACCTCTTCAAAAGCCCCTCTCTCCAAATACAGTCACATTCTTAGTTACTGGGGGTTAGGACTCTAATATATGAATTTTTTTGGCGGCGGGGGTGCACAACTCAGCCCATTATAGTGCATTAACTCCTCCTCCTCACCAACTTCTCCAAAAAGTGCTTGGACAACTTTAATGATTTTAAACCCCCAGCACTTGGAAGAATTAAAAACCTTTCTCAGCTCAAGGCAGGGAAAGAACATAATTATGCATATAGCAAGCTATGTGTATAATTAAGATGTTGTGAACAAGTCCTAGGGACATGTTTTCATTTATTCAAAAAACACTGCCTGGATTGTTTTCATAGGCCGATTTAATATTCTTCTCATTGCAAGATATTACATATATTACATATGTGTATTACATATGAAGTGAAGTTTATCCTAAAGACAAAAAATAGGTTGAAGTCCCCTTTCCTGTCCCCTTAAGGGGTTAGCATATCTCAAACACCTTCTGGGGCAGAATAAAATGAAGAGTTGCCCCTAAGGATGAGGATGAAGGAGGTAGAAGGGGTGGGAAGACCTTAATACATAAGTTATAGTGAGGCCCATTACTCACTTCAGTGAAACTGAAGGCAGTGCTTCCTGGGAATAAATTTTACCTTTTTAAATAGTCACAGGATATAAACTACAACATAAGGAATAAAGTCAATAATATTGTAATAACTATTTATGGTGTCAGGTGGGTACTAGGTTTATCGAGGTATTGCTTCATAAATTATGTGTCTAACACTATGCTGTATACCTGAAACTAATATAAAATAATATTGGATATCAACTGTAATTGACAAATAAAAACTCAAAAAATTACCTTTTTATACAAATAAGTAATAAAAAAAATTAAGAAGTGGATGGTACTTTGTGATTTGGAATGTGCTGTATCGAAGTAACACAGTCATGTCACATGCTGAAGCAATATTCAGATATTCCACATTCATTTCTTCAAGATGGTAGTCTATCTCCTCCCAGCACTCATTATTCAGCTATATTCATCTCAAAACCGAGTAACTTTGAAAAGGAATTTCTTTTTTATGTAACTGGACAGAATTCCGTAGGGTAGGGGTTTAATCCACCCTCCAGGGACATAGGCAATATAACTGAATTCCTACCTGAATTTCATCCTGGTGTTGTCTTACCCACTGAAGAATCCCTGTGGCCTAATATAATCCTCTAATAAAATTTCAAAGCTTCATTTATTTCTAATGATTCATAGCAACATTCCCCAAATTGCTGGAGAGGGATTAATACATTGCATAAAAGCCATTGTTAAAAATTGAGTAAATGACAATTTTATTATATTACTAAACTGCTTTCTTTGAACATAAATGAAAGGTTTATAAAAGAACACAAGGTAGGTTTACATCATGAATTTTTCCGAGAATTAAATATTTCCCAACAATAGCCATCTGTTAAGTCCATTGGAACAGCTTTTCATTTCTGGATAAAATTTGAAGTTAGTATATTAAAAAAATTCTTGTGAAGAATTTTATGTTATCATGGCAGCACATCACCTTCCTCCGGGAATTTTCATTGCTTATCAATAAAATGTTATAAAGATGTGGAACATCATTTTCTTACTCATAAAATCCAGAAAACTTTGCAAACAGAAACTTCCATAATCCTACCACTGTTCTCTTCCAAGGTAAAATGTTAAATTAGATAACTTGTAAGTTTCCTTCTGTTTCTAATATTCTTGAAATTTTCTGATTCTTCCAGATTACTATCAACTTAGCTAGAATAGTGCATTTTTTCTAAAAATAAAGAGTAAAAACTTATGTAAACTTCTTTTAAAGAAAAACCTGTCTTTAGCTCCCAATGTTGACTTAAATTACTTTTATAATAATACTAGAGGCCTGATGCATGAAATTCGTGCAAGAGTAGATCTTCCTTCCCCCGGCTGCCGGCACTGGCTTCCCTCTGGCTGCCAGCAGGCACCCGGGACCGGGCTTTGCTCACAGCCCTGGCTTCATCTGAAAGGTCGTCTGGTCTAATTAGCATATTATGCTTTTATTATTGTAAATTACTTATGTAGGTTCAAACACCAAACTAGGGACATTCTTATCATTCTTATGCAACTGTAAAGCAAGAAAACTTATTTATAATCAAACAACAAAAGTTTAATTTAATATACCCGATCCATTCTTTCCAGAATTGGTTATTGAGTATGTACTATATGCCAGGAACTAACCCAGGTGCTGGAGTCACGGCAGGAAAGACCACAGACAAAAATCTCTTCCCTCTTGGAATTTATATTCTGGTAGAAGAGAGGCAGAGAAAGACAATTTTTTAAAACATCAACTACGTACAATGTTAAATGGAGATGAGTTGGGGACAAAAAGTAGGAAAGGAAGTGGGTAATATAAGAGGAGTGTTCATTTTTAAAAAAATAATTCTTTATTGTTTAAAGTATTACATATGTCTCCTTTTTTCCCTCATTGACCCCCTACAGCCCGTCCCCACCCCAACCCCAGGCTCTCACCGCCTCATTTTCTGTGTCCACTCATTTTTAACAGAGGGCTGCATGTGCCAGTGCCAGACGTGGTGCATATAAGTTCAACTCACACTCTCTTCCTAGAACTCATGGCTTCACCTAACAACAAGGAAGATTGGGAAGACGGGAAAATTGAGTCTAGCTCTATGACTAAAGGAAGAGAAAATGCATTTTGGTGAAAACACAGCAGTCGTGGCATGCTACTATTCCCTTCCTGAATTAAGCAGACTTACTCCTGAGAAACAACAGAACATCCCTTGCAGGTTTGAACCCACCTCACTGAGCTTATAGCATGGCTGAGACAGAGGCTCAGAGTGCACCCTCTCTGTGGGCGAAATCCCAGAGAAAATGGAGAAAAGGGTGATTGATTGACTCTACTAATGCTTTCAATCTCATCAATCAGAGGATGGGGGAAGAGAGACTCCAGGAGTGCTAATCTAGGAAAATCGTCCACTCACAAATATGATCTTTTTTCCTTCTCTAGCCTCCTAGACCCAGCTGCCTGAGTAATCCTGTCGAACACAAGTCAGATGGTATCACTTCTTTGCACAATGCCTCCATCTCACTCAGGGTAAAAGGCAAAGTTTCTTAGAATGGCCTCCATGGCCCTTCCTGAACTAACTCCCCCACTCAACATCCTTATGTCCTTGCCCACACTGCCTCTTCGACGTCATCTTTGCTCACTGCACTACAGCCACATGGGTCTCCTTGCTGTTCCCTGGATGTGCCACATTTGCTCTCACGTCAAGGCCTCTGCACTGGCTGTTCCCTCCAAGGTGTCCACATGGATTACCCCCTTATCTCCTCCTCCCAATGAGCAGTAAGATGCTAAAAATGTCTGAACCAGGTATATACTGAGGCATGTATGGTTGATGTTACATCCATCCTGATACAGATATACCCTGAGACACACCTTAATTCCTCAAAATCTCCACAAGATAGGAAACATGGGAACCTGAAGCATGGCAGAACCCAAGCATTGGTGGATCTTCCATAAGATCCAGTCATCCAAGTAGGCCCTGCCAGTGAGAGACTTCTATCCTGGGTGAACAAATGGGCTGTCCAGTTGATATGACTTATGTTTTCTCTTTTTTTGTCTCTATACCAGAAAATGTGAATTTCATGTTCTTTTTGTAATATCTGGTTTTAAAGATTATTCAATTTAGTATATCCATGGCAAATATAGCAAGAGTTAAATAGGCTATCAACCATTGGTTAGCCCACAGAAGTTACACCGTGATAAATTGAAACTAGACTATTCACAAGAACACACACATGTTTGTGTGCTTGCTCTCTCTCTCCTGCTAATTGAAAATAATCCATGCATATTTTAGCCATATAGCCTTTTGAGTTCCTTTATTTTTAATTTGCCTTAATAGCTTTATATTTCCTTATGGCCTGCCTCATATTAAGCTAGATTTTATAATATTCTGCATTTTTTTCATATTTTTATTAGTTTCATCTTATCAATTTGTATTTATTTCAATCTCAATTTGTATTTATTTCTTCATAGGACTGTGTTTATTTTCTTTTTGTCACCTTAATAATATTTCAGAAACTATTTAAATTCTATACAGGCTTCTTTGCTATTAAAAATTATATTATACACCTAATTTGGGTAAAGTTCAGAAAATTAGTTAGCTAATTATAAACACTGACTAGTGTAGGAATTGAGGAAGTGAGATATAACTGTTGTTATTCATTAATTATTTTAATCCTCACTCTCCCTCTCCCCCTCCCCACCTCAGTTATCTAAATTATCTATGATTCTCAACCTGGCCACACATTACAAGTACCTGAGTTGCTTTTAAAATTGCCATTGTGAGAGCCCCACCCCTGGTCAAGTTAACTCAAATGTGTGCAGGTTTATGCAAAAACAAAAATAAAAATAAAGCAACAAAAATAAACAGACCTTCCTGGGTGATTCTAATGTATAGCCAGGGTTTTGATTTATTCCAAAGTTTGGATCTGAACTTGAAGTGAATTGATAGTCCTCTCTCCCACAGACATCACCACAAATACATCTTAGTATGTATTATAGGAATTCCAAGTTCTACAGATCCATTTGGAGACCCCAACAGAGTCCAGCCTCACAGCAGCAAAACAGAAGAGGAATTGTATAATTGTACTCGACCTGAGTAAGAGAATCATCCGAGCCACAGCACCTTAGAGCTGGAGAGATCTGGAGAAATCATCAGTCCGACACTCATTTTACAGAAGAGAAAATGGACTCGAAGGGGCTGGTCTGGCCCCTCACATTAATTATCTGTAGCAAAGAGGGGAGAATTCAGACCAGACAACTTATATGAAAACTAACACAGGGACTGGCTTATGAGAAAAAAAAATATTTTCTCTCCCTTATTCCTTCCCAGAGACTTTACTATGTGGCGAGAGAATCTGTCAATGGAAACAGAGTAATGCCGAACTGTTGTGATAGCTCTGTGGGACTCAAGCTCAATGGATGTTTAGGAATTAGTATCCAAAGTAAAATACACCAGAATGAGAGATTAGTCATCCTGCAGTCTAGACCTAAAAAGAAAATTAAGCACAAAGCTTGGATTAAAACCCTGACACCTGTTTCATTCAATCCTAAGGCTGCCTGGCTGGCTGTCTCCCTCAATTGTGCTGATGGCTGTTCACCAGCCCTGTGGGAATGCACTTCGACACAGGGAAAATATTTATAAAAGTGTCCTTCCAAACAGCTGGCTGGAAAGGGCTGGAGGAGGGCCTGGATTCTCTCCCCTCTGGTATTTGACAAAGTGTAGTTTAAAACTGCTCATGTCTAACAGCTTTATGGGCTGTCAGCATGCAATTCTCCGAGTGTCTTGGGTTGTAGATACATCCTCCCCCGTCATGACTTTCTGGTGAAAGAGGAAAAGATTATATCAAAAAGGACCCCCCTAAAAAGCCAGTTTTTAAAAATAAAGTAATAAATTAGAACAAAATCTGAACAATCATTTGAAAAAATAAGAAAGAAAAAAGGAGTTGTGTTGTAGTAGGAAAGTTTTCTGTTGGTTTTGGCTCACATCCCAAGAGTTTGTATATGCTGACTCTCCACGTCTTGTCTCTCAAAGAATTTCATGACACACTTGTTTGGAAGGGTTCTGGTTAGTGAGAAGGACAAAGAAGCCCAAATTAAATGTCAAAATTGTACCAAAGGCTGAACTAAGTAAAAATTCATTTGATCATTTGAAGGAGTGAAAAAAGAAGAAAGATTATTTTTAGCAATGTATTGTTTTGAAATTTGAGAACTTAATCAGGGAATATAAGCAAAGAAATGAATATTATTAGTTTCATTCACACTCTCCCTCTCCCCCCATAACTTTCCCATAACCTTCCATTTCCATCTGCAATACTTGGAGCAGAAGCTACAGGAATGGTTGGACTCTGAAAGTTCATGGTTTCAGAGAAGGGATCCTACTAAAATGAGGTTGAAGAAACAGCATCTGAGCTCAGGTGATCAAAGGAATTAGCCAGAGGCCAAAGAAGTGAAGTTACAAGTCAGAGTCAAGTTAATGAACAAGGTGGTGAATATCCAAGACAAAGAGAACACCAGTTGAAGAATACAGTCCTTAAGACCAGGGACTGGAGTCAGACTGCTGGTAAAACAAGTCCCAGCTCCTACACTTGCTACTTGCATGACCTTAGGCACTTCTTCAAATTTCTGTTTCCTCATTTGTGTAATGGGACCAGTGATACCTACCTCATAAAGTCATCCTGAGAATCAAATAAGATAATCTGTTCTGTATAAAGTGTTTAGAACAAATAGTGCCTGCGTATATATTAAGTGCGCAAAAATTACAGCTCTTCGTTACTTTTTATTACTCAACATGTTTATTGATGCCACTGTGGAACAGGCATTGTAGTAGATACTTGAAATACAAGTGGGAGTAGGACATTCTACCTGGAGGAGCTCAGCAGGCCAAGTCCTTGTAGAGCAAGCATGTCAAACTCAAGGGGCCCACAACGAATATTTTTGCGGCCCAGCCAAATGACGATAAGTAAGAAACATTTTAATAAAAATTTTGTAACTTAATTTTTACAATATCTTGTTATACATAATTATTAATAACGAACTACAATTTTTGCTAATGACTGATTACTATAATCGTGTTGCATTCATTTCCCTTACTGGCCTTACACGCAGGCGCACTATTTCTCTCCACTAATACTAGCAGCGAATATTTTAGCAGCCGATTGCCACGTCATTAGTCTTGGACTGACTTGTTTGGTGTGTGCAACAGGAAATACTTTGCTTTTGGAGAACAAGAAAAATAGGTTTATTTGCATTACGCTTATTAATTTGTGCAGTTATTCAGTGTCTGGTAAGTTAATGCTCAAGAAAAAATATTAATTTTTATCAAAATGTTCTATTATTTTATGTTAATGATTACTCATTTATTTCAGCCCTTTGTATTCCGCACGTCTCTATCGAAATAAACCTACGTTTCTATGAAAATTGAAGCTTTTGTTTTTTTTTGCGGCCCACATAAACTTAAACCTGGTTTATTTGGCCTGTGTTAGCCTTTGAGTTTGACATGCTTGGTGTAGAGCGAGCTGTGCTAATTGTGATGCAAAATAACCTGGCTAGGTCATCCCCTTATTGTGTCATTTCTATGTAGTATTTGCTCTCTCTGAATTCTTCTTATATGTATGTTTTAAATATGATCGTACTCTAGCTTCACAATTCCTTTGTGTGGTTATGTCTCTCTCTAAAACTCAATTCTAAACTCCTTGAGGGGAGAGCTTTGTCTATTCCTCAGCACCCAGTGAGAGCCTAACCCAAATCAGACAACCGCATACACAGAAATGGCAAAACTGACTTGCTTTAAAAGCTTCAGACATGAAAATTTCTAGGCTCTGCTCCCTCCTGACCCCTTGTCCTGACCTCCTTGGAGTCTCTCTCACTCTTCTATGTTCCCAACATAAGCTGCCCTTTAGAATCTCCCAGCATTCCTGGGAGGAGGTGTTACAGAGAACATTGCGGCTGAGCACGGTTAAACAGCCCCCATGGCAGCGCTGAGATTCTGATCCTGATTCATCTGCGGCCAAGCCCCTCAACTCCTCCAACCCAGCACGTTGTACATCCCCTCTGAGCACATACGGAAGACGAGGAAGAAGAAAGTATCTGCAGGACAGGCCGTGTGCAACCACAGGCTGCTACACCACAGGAAACTGATTTTTAAAATAGTAATGCCATCCCTTCCACCAAGGTAATGCGAACTCCTGTTATATGTGAGGACTCTTCCTCCTTCTCAGACATGTGGAATGTATTTTTGAAGAGTTCTCCCATTTTCAGTCATGGGGATAGTTATTTAGGAGCTTAGTGTGAAGAACTGAACAAGCATCAATTTTTAAACATTGCGATCAATCAATGTCAGCTTTGAAAAATACCATATGGATCAAACCTTGCATATTGAAATTTCTTCACATTAAACTTTTATTAAGCCATTAAAATATGTATATGGAAGGGGAATTATATTTTCAAGTGTTTCTATTCATTTTCTAACATTTCATTTTCTACCGTAGAGTTCTGCCGGGATTCTTGTCCCAGCATCAAGAAGGGTTCAGGAATCTGGAGAAGGCTGTGCGTAGATTTAATAGGAATCCAGAGACTAATAAAGAGTCAGGAGATGAGATATAATTTTGAAAGGCATTGAGGGTCAGAGGAGCTTAGCTAAAGGAGCTAAGATCCAAGATCTTAAGTCTAAGGTCTTAGGTTCTCTCTTCGTCCCCAGGACCCCATGCTTTTTATCAGGGGTCCTCAAACTTTTTAAACAGGGGGCCAGTTCACTGTCCCTCAGAGCGTTGGAAAACTATATGAACAAATTCCTATGCCCCCGCCTGCGGGCCGAGGGCAGGATAAATGTTTTCGGAGGGCCCACAGGCTGTAGTTTGAGGACCCCTGCTTTTTATTAACACAACTTGTCCTGAGGAGAGGCAGAGATATACACTTCAAAGGGTCAGGGTTTGGTACAGAGTCCATTGTCAGATTGGGGGAATTAGCCTACG